TTGTAAAGTTACCAATTAAATCTGGTGAGAGACAGCACAATAAATGTACCTTTTATCTTTGTGATGAAGGCTATAACCGTATATAGCTGGGTCATTTTAGAAAACTTTTGCCTTCACCAACATTTACATGTTGCTCTTGGCAGCAACAGCTGGACGGATTTTTAAAAGGAGAGAGAAGTAATAGGTGGGCTTTTTTCTTTCCCCTCTTTTGGGAAATGGATTTTAAATGGCTAAACTACTAGCCTTAGACTAATAAAAGTAAGCTACCATTCTCGTCAGTCTGTCAATCCATATTTCTATATGGATCTTTGTGTGGAGGCGAGTGGCCACGGCAGGGGCGGTGGGGCCGGTGCCGCGGGGCAGGGGCAGAGGGGGGATGCTGTGGCCTCGCTGCCACCCGCCATGGCACGACGATGATGCCATCGCCATCGTGTGACATCCCCCGTGCCGAGATGGCTGCCGGGGCCCGGCATCCTGCATGGCGCTGCAGTGGGGAGAGCCCAGTGCGTGAAGGCGCCTCGCTGAATCAGGCTTGTAAAGAGCTTAAAAATATATATATATATATGTGGTTTCTTTGGCCAAGGGTCTGGATCTATACTCGTTTCCCCCCCACACTTCCCTCCCCTCCTTCGCGAATTACCCAACATACAGTGAAAAACGACATCTGTGCCGAAATGTGTATGTATTTAGTTTGGGTTGAATTGTGTCCTTATAAACTCTGCTCAATTGATTTAAACTTTTAAGTGCGTATCTGGGATTCTTCTTTTCTCAGTAGCTGCAAGCATGGCTGCCTGTGGTATTAGGGTGTCGCATAATGAGATCTGTGTTGCTGGTTTTTAACCTACCTCGTTTTGTTTGTTCGTTTGTTTTTCTTTTCGGTCGGCTGTTCAGCACAGCACTGTTACCTCCAGCGACATATAGAGAGCTTAACTGGCAATCTTGGTGTACTCAGCAACGATGGCTTTATTAAAAAATAATTTAAAAACAATCAACAGTAGTTGGTCAACCTTGAATCTTTTGTGAACCACAAGAAAACGTTTGGCTGCTTGATCTGCGGGCGGTGATGAGTCCCTCTGCCACGGGAGCCAGCGCCACCCTGCCGCCATCTTCTCCCCACATCGCCCTGCCACCATCTTCTCCCCGCACCATCCTGGCACCATCTTCTCCTACTGCCACCCAGCTGCAATGTTCTCCTGTCCCATCTGGCCACCATCTTCTCCCACTGCTGTTGCCACCCAGCCGCCATCTTCTCCCACTGCCACCAGGCCGCCATGTGCCACCAACAGCCCCCGTCTCTGTGAGGCCACAAAATGGTGGCTGGGCTCCATGATGGCGGTGCTGGGTTTCCCTCACGGGATTGCCACCAGCTCTTTATATTATCACTGCTGTTAYCTTAAAACGGAGATGGTTACTGAGTTTATGTTACAAACTGGTAACTCTCCTTTTCCTTTTCCCCTTGAAGTGACAAGTTCAGAACACACAGCTTTAAATGATTTTTTTTAATTATTTTTATTGTGGGGCTTGGGGGTTCATTTATGGAATAAAAGGGAGTCGTTGTGTTTAAACATAAGGTAGTATGTGAATGTATTTTTTAAAAAACATGGAGTGGTTTGAAGCGCAGTCGTTAAGAAACCGGTATTAACGCCATCATGTTTACAGCGTGTGTACATGAACATAACATAGATGAAACGCATTTCTGGTGCCAACTACAATAAAACACAAAACTTCMACACAGAGCCATGACTTATATATCTTTGTGCTGGCGCCCGGGACACTGACCCATAGCTGGGCACGAAGGCCGCTGGTGCCACTGACTCATTCATCTTCCTTCCACACACACAGGCACCTCCCAAACACAATTCCCTACAAATACATCCAGCTTTGGTTTGCTCGTCTTCCATTTCTTTTTCCACACGCTGCATTCCCCACCCTGCTCCGCTTCTGCCCCAAGCAGAGACTCCCTGCCAAGGACGAGTGGCGGGGATGCATTTGGAAGTGAACGCAGGGCTCGGAAAGCACGGCGCCTGTCACCAGTGCTGCTGGCATGAAGACACTGGGCCCACCAAGACGCCGGCCGTACGTACCACTGCTTCTCCTTTCGGCCACTGCAACCTCCTCTTTCCTGTTTGCTTTTGGCCTTTTTCATTTTTTTTTTTTCCTCATTTTTTTCTCTGCCTTTCAGGGTACTTTTGTCTGGAAGGCTAAAACCTTGCAGTCCTCAATTTTCCTGTTTCTTTTCCATTTTCTTTCTTGTTTTGCAACTTGTTTTACATCAAAGCTGCCTCTAAAGAGCCCAGACCAGGTAAACAGGATGCATAAATTACTCCTGCCATGACACAGCATCACTGTCCATGTACTATCTTAAAATTACTTCCACTGATGTGAGAACGCGTTCAGTTGTTCAAAAGAAAAGTTTGACTGGAAACTTTAACCCAGTGCTTTTAGTGCCTAATTATACTTAGCAATGTACGTGGCACTGCAGCATAACACAGGTGTCGCTTTGTGTGCAAATAGTGTAAATTAGGCCCATAAAGAAACCACATGGCTACAAAATAACGTCAGAGAGATGCTCTTCTCATACACATATTCAAAGGCATACAAGAAAAAGCATAAATGAGCCTTAGGTGAGCTGGCAAAGCCTGGATCCTAGCAATGAGCACCGTAGGGCTGACTCTGCAGGGAGGATGCTCTTGGCCCCAGGTTCAGTCTCCACCCTCCCTCCCACTCCTGTGGTCTGTGTGGCCTTGGGATATCACTTTCCTGCTGCATGCTTTCACTCGCCAAATGCAAAAYGGGAATAATATTGCTCCTGAGCTGTGCTATATCATGTAGATAAAGTAAGCTCTATGGCAGCGTAACAGGCCATTAAAAGTAGAGATTAGACTGGCTAATCATTTATACTGGTGGAGACTAGCTGTTGTAGCATGCAGGAGGCTGCAGGTGCTGTTCTTTGATTTTCCAAGCTARGAGAGAGTGAGACTATGTGAGACTGACACCACAAGGTGTTTCCAGCGGGAAGCAGAGATTTGCAAACTGTCTTTCCAATCCAGTGGGTCTACTGCAAGCTTGGAGCTTTCTGCTCCAGGTGCCCGGTCTACCCCATGGCTCCAAAGGAAGCTTTCCAAGGCWGAGCCGAAGCAGAGGCAGAGCTGCCGCAGAAGGTGATGGCTGGCAAGGCAATGGGCCTTCCTGTTAAAGCAGGGCAGCTGGAAGCATTTCCTTCATGAAGGAGGCTGCCTCCAGGTTCCCCTCTCCATTGTGGGTTTCCATACCAGATTCTGTGTGCTACCTCTGTATTCCTAGCAAACCCTCCCCACTTGGGCAGAGGACCATGTGCCTTGGCCAAGGGGGCTGAGCAAGGGAAAAAAAAAAACATATGGGGCAGGCTAAAAGCAATAGAAGTGCTGCTTCACTCTCCATCTCCAGTATCTAGATGGGCTTTCTCCAGCAGCACAACCTGCAACTTGCTCAGAGTCCCGTTGCTTTTCTTTATCTCAGACCCCCCAGGAGCCACAGACTGTGTCTGACGGGCTGGGATTTCCAGGCAAGGAAAGACCCCTCCTCGCTTGGAGGGGAATTTGCTCCTGACCTGGAATTTCACAGTGTTTAAGGTTTCAATTTGAGATATTGGTTTAGGTGCCTCATTTGTTTTCCAAGCCAAACTTGAGACAGTTAATSCCTTATCCCAACCCACCTGTATGGAGGTATCTCACGGGGTTTAACTGCAAGGCAAAGAGAAGGAGCTTGTAAATGCCTCAGTATCCATAAACACAGAGAGCAAATGCATACAATAGAAATGGTCAAAGATGTCACCTACGAGAGCAAATATGGGGACAACTTCAAAGAGCTCAGCCTCAGTGTCCTCCCCCTCCACACCCCTTTCCAGATCYATGGGCTTTCCAGAGGAATGCAGGTACTGCAGCTGGAATGAATTGACAGATGAATGCAATGAACTTTTCTCTTCAAGTTAAAGTTTTACTCTGAAGCCAGAGCAAAGATTAGTGTTTTTTCTCTAATCTTTTTTCTTCTCCTCCTCTTCCTCTCCAGAAAGCACATTTTGTGCCCATGTGAAGTCTCACTGACTGGGAGCATCATCCAATGACTRGCAGTAACCAGCTGGGGTGAAAACCCTCACGTGACTCCTCAGAGTTTATCTGCAGAGTAATGGGATTAATCAGCCCTGCTTGGTGATTCAGACTTTGGTAGATGCTGCGATCTGGCCGGTGGAGCTGGCTGATGTCTGCTGATGATGTCAGGGAACGAGCAAGTGCAGCAAGGACGAGCAGCACAGACCAGCTCAGACCAGATTTGCACCAACGTGCAAAGTGCATGACTACTAAGTCAAGCCAAAGGTTAACGGTGTATTTGAGAACACCAAGATCAGCTGGTGGTGCTGAAATTGCTAAGCATTCAAAGCAGTGTGGGTCTTATAGTGAAAAGGCACCTTCTTGTAATGGTCTGGGTAAGTTTATTGTGTTTTGTGTCTGAATGCACATAGAGCTCAGGATGCCTACAAGTGTATGTGTATTATTATTATATCTACTTCTTGAATGGTTGAGTGCATATGTATGTGGATATATATAAGAAGAGATCTGTATACATCTGTCTTTGTATATATTTGAGTATATGTTGTACACACACAAAAACATATTTTAAAGCAGGTGCCATTTAAATACAACATYGGTTTTCTAACTCCTTTGCTGCATATGCTGGAAGAGCTTTTCCTGCTAAAATCCAGTGACAAAGCTTGTAATTTAGCAAACAAATCCAAGACAGAAGCCAAGAAAGGTGTTGAGGAACATCTTCTAGAAAGAGGCTGTTAACACATTCCCAAGTGCCTGGCATGCAACATAGCAGTGGTTCCTGGTTTTGCAGACTGTTTGATTCAGACAAAAAGCTGCCTCTGAGCTGGATTATTCAAATTTCACAGGTTCACCCATAGGCATGTCATGGACAGTTTGGTTTTTCATTAACTTCCCAGTGGATATAGTCCCATCATGTGGAGCACGGGTCCGTTTTGCCGATTCTGCTCCCTCAGTCCCTCCTGTTGTCCCTCCTTCTGTGTCTGAGCAATAACCACGCTCCAGGAAAGCCCTCTTCRGTCCAGGACTGAGCCACTGCTCCTACAAAGAGTTTGAGAGGATGGACAGGAAAAATAAGATGCAAGAACAGAAGGTAAGCAAGGTTCAGTGGTATTTATATAGCARTATTTATAATAATATTTCCGAGGGAAGTCAGCACAGGGCACTGGCATTTGTTGCTTGTGAAAGCCAAAACCAACAGGAAAAAGTCTTCCCCCTCACTAACTGGTCTTTGTACTGAGTGCTGCGGGAGAGGGGTTGGGAGATTGCTAATTTTTTTTTAGGAATTTGACAGCTTATAARATAATTTTAGCTATGAAATAATTCATCAGACAGCACTGCTGACATTCAACTTCTTGGTCATTTTTAACGAGTTTTTCTGCCTCAGTAAGATTGCACCTGTAGAAGGGCTGGGTATGGAGCGCTAGGGCTACTTACATTTACTTATTAGAGCATAGATGTGAATAAATGCTCACCAAAATTGTATTAAATGCTCRTCAAAATTGTATTTTAAGAGGACAGGGGTATCTGATCAGAGTGTGCTTGCACGGAGCAGCATGTGGATTGCGGACTGCTTCATTCAGGGCAACGTTCATGTGCTCAGGGAGCTGATCCTGCCCCGAGCATCCCWCGATCCTGCCCCATGAGCATCCCTCACGTGCCCCCAGCCCCCAGGGACCGAAGGAGGTGGCCCCGTGTCCCCAAGCTTTGCTCGGAAACACGTGTCCGGTGCCCTCAGCACCCTGGGTGCCTCCTCCACAGCCATGCAGGCAGCAGGGTCCCGGGGGCTCTCCTGGGGCAGGGACAGGGTGGCACGAGGTCCCTGTCACGGAAACGTCTCGGCTTTGCCGGGCACCAGGTGCCCGCAGGACAGCGTGGTGAGGCCGCTCCCTGCTTTCTCTTGCAGCACCTCACAGCAACGCTGCTGCTCTCCGTGTTCACCGCCGTGCTGGGCTTCTTCCAGTACGGCTACAGCCTGGGCGTCATCAACGCCCCGCAGAAGGTAAGCGGAGYGCTCGGCCCCGCAGCGCAGCGCCACGTCGGCACGAGGAGGGTGGCCGAGGAGACGCCCAGCGCTGGGGTTTCACTCGGAGAGCCGCTCCGGAGGGCACTGTCCCTCTCCAGGGAGTTATCTCCATGGTGTAACCCCACCAGCGTAAGCTGGTGTGGGGAGAAAACAATCTGCACCCCGTGCTGCCATCCTGCAGCGAAAGCAGCAGGGCTCTGACCGTCTCCGTGCTGGCTTTAGCCCAAAAGCAATGCCCAGAGGGGCTCAGCACCCCCTCAGTGTGGGGCTGCAACCCCCCAGAGCAGCGCAGGGCTGGGACGGGGAGGCCACCAGGATGACAACGTTTCCCCTCCTTGCTGCTGCAGGTGATAGAGGCCCACTACAGCCGGGTGCTGGGGGTGGCCCCTGCCATGGGCCACGCGCYCAACGCCTCCGGCGACCCCGGCGACGCCGGCGCCATCCCCAGCCCRGCGGCGCCGGGAGCCTCGGAGAGCACGGCGGAGCATGGCGCGGCAGGGCAGGACGCCGGCCCCCACCCCGTCCTCACCATGTACTGGTCGCTCTCGGTGTCCGTGTTCGCCGTGGGCGGCATGATCTCCTCCTTCACCGTGGGCTGGATCGGCGACCGCCTGGGCAGGTGAGGGCCGCACGTGGAGCCGCAGCGCCGCAGTCCCCTAACTTTGTGGGAGCTGAGAGCCCGCRGCTGTAAGTGGGCTCTGGACCTCCCCAACGCCCCCGTATCCCGCCAGGCATGCAAGTGASAGCACATAAATTAGCTTCTATTAATTTCAAATTATCGCATTCTTATTGTTTGATTTCTCCTGCCCTTGAAGTGTTTTCTCCCCAAAGAAGGATCTTTTGTATTATTTTTCCCATTTTAATGGAAAAAAAAAAATCAAACCTCCAAAATATTGCTCCAAATATTACAAGAGTCTGGTTTATTAAAATCCTAAATTATAAATCAGATTCTTTATTGTAACTTTTAGCACTTCAGACAAAAAATTGATGAGAAGCCTTTATTTTTAATTTTGTTCCAGTGTTTTTGGTGACAAAAGGAAGATATTTGCATAGCATGAGCACAGGATGTATAAATGCTTTTAGCCACTGTGACTGCACCCCTTCCATAGATCTGCCCACCCATATGATCGTTATTCTTTCCCCTGCAGTGCTAATCAGCTCACTTGCCATTTGCTGTGGTTTTCTACCCTGATGTGTGCAGGCCAGTGCATTTCTCTGGCCAGGGACATGCAAGCTGACCTGAGATACTCTTGCACTTGGGTTCAACTGGCAGCAGATGGTGTTTGCAACTTTACACCAGTGAAGTTGTCAATCCGAGAGGGGTCAGAACTAAATGGCAAAGCCAGGGGCTAGGGTTTTGCCTCCCGTGGCAGCCTGGTGCCTTGTGCTCTGGCCCTTGCTAGCGTTTCTGCAGCGATCCTGCTCTTTGCCCCAGTGCTGCTGAGAAATGCAGCGTGTGCCTTGCGAGGCGCAGGGCACCGCTGCGCGGCTGGCAGCCGGTGTCCAGCAGGGCCACCCCGTCCCCAGCTGCCAAACACGCAGTTTCCAGGCCAGGGTGACACCCCCAGTGCAGCTCTGCTGTTGCTCAATTGCAGGGTTAAGGCTATGCTGGTCGTGAACGTCCTCTCCATCGTCGGGAACCTCCTCATGGGGCTGGCAAAACTGGGACCCTCTCACATCCTCATCATCGCCGGCAGAGCCATCACAGGGCTGTACTGTGGTAAGTCACAGCAGGCCCCAATGTGGCTGGGCTGCCCCAGCGTGACAGCAGCAGGGCTGGCACCTGCGTGACACAGACACCACAGGGACACAGGGGACACGTGCTACGGCCCCCAGCTCACCAGCTCCATGTGGGAGTTTCCCTCTTTCCTTTCCTCACGCCCGCCCGCTTCACTTCAGTATCTWTTTCAGAAGTATTTAGGTCGACTCTGTCATGAAGTTAGCTTAATTTACTGATACTAGTTCCTAGACCTGCMTTGGTGAGCAGCACCTTTGATGTTTGCTCTTGGCTGTTGTTGTTGTTATAACAGTATGTTGCTATTTATGCTGTTTAAAATGTTCCCTAGATAACAGTACTATCTATGGTAGTACTGTAGATAGTGGAAAGAGAAGAAGGGAGGTTGATAAGATGGAGTTACTTTAGAGTTACCTTTAGAAAAACAAGTTATTATCATTGTCACTGGTGGGCAGGTATAATACTCCCTTTCAAAGGTTGAAGACAAGATTTTGAAAGCTCCTTAGTCTAAAATAACCTCTCTTAGCAGATCATTCCTGCTCTGTGCTATGTAGGTGTTCAAATGCAAAGATCTACTGAACTGCGGTTCTGAACTGGGGCATATCTGAGCACTTTCTGCAAAGTGCCAGGCATTTCATTTCCCTCTCCCGGCCAGAGGAAAGGTGACCTAGGGGGTTGGCAAGACACAGCAAACAGCACACAGGTTTCATCCTCCTTTCCAGTTTGGGAAGCTGTTGCTGTTGATTGCTGAGCTGCCAGCTGGAAGACGTGACGCCCGTGTGTGCTCTGTGCAGGACTGTCCTCCGGCCTGGTGCCCATGTATGTGAGCGAGGTGTCCCCCACGGTCCTCCGCGGGGCGCTGGGGACGCTGCACCAGCTCGCCATCGTCACYGGGATCCTCTTCAGCCAGGTAAGAGGCCGCATGCGCAGCACCAGCGGGGTGTGCAAGTGTTCAGGCAGCCCCCGGGACAGAATCTGAGAAAAAATGTGAGAAAAGTGTCAAAATTTCACAACAAACCTGCAGGAGGGTTTCAAGCAATTTGTTCTGATGGGTTTGCACTCCTACATTCAGTGTAGGACAGTGTAAGGATACCTCCTTCATTCAGAGGTGTCCTTACCAAAGAACACTTCCTCTCCTGAAATTAAAAATACCTCCTCAAACAATTTCTCCCGTCCCCTGCAAAAAATACCTCCTCAAACAACTTCTCCGATCCCCTGCATTTTTTTTTGTGCATCTCTTAAGCGACATCTGAAGATCCTGAATATGAGATCCTTCATATTCAGGTTTCAGTACCATAAACAGACACTCAAAACAAAGCTGGAGTTAACATACTTGCTGAAAGTCAACTCCAGAGCCGTGCTGCAGCTCCAGAGTTCACTCTCTTGGTGCATGAGGCATCCCTTGCAGCATGAAGTTCAATCTGAGCTCCAGACTTTGTGGAGCTCCTTAGGACACTTTTGCAGGCACATGGGCTCTCTTTTGCTATTTGACAATTAGACTTCCACTAGTGACCTGGTATCTGCAAACACACAGCAGTGTAGATGAGACAACACAGACAGGCCTGGCAGTGCCTTGCTCATGGCATTTTATGTCGTCTGCTCATTTCCTTATTATAAATGTGTGGCTTACTAAAGAAAGCATATTGCAGAGAATGAGGAGAACTAGTTGCTTCTAGTTTTTTTTTTTTTTTCACTTAAAAATGCCCCAGTAGTCAGACAGTTTCTTGTTCTAAACTGTAAAATATATCAGTTGCATTCAAACATGATTCGATTATTCCAGGTTCTTGGACTAGACTTTCTGATGGGCAATGATAAGATGTGGCCCCTGCTCCTTGCTCTGTCTGGTGCAACTGCTCTCCTGCAGTTCTTCCTGCTCTTGCTCTGTCCTGAGAGCCCCAGATACCTCTACATCAAACTGGGAAAAGTGGAGGAAGCTAAAAAAAGTAAGACACAATTTCAGGTTTTGTCTGTAATTGTTTTATGCTATTAGCCTGGGTAAGTGGGTACAGTTGTTCCATCCCATGACATGCACACTTGCTGGAAGGATTTCAGACACCCACACATATTCACAGACTAATGCATGTGTGCTTATAATGTTACTGCTTATCTCGTGAGCCTTATTTTGTTACTCCTTTCCATCAAATGGATGAAATAGTTTTATGATACCACCAAAACTGCAGATTTCTGGGAGATTGCCCCTTTCAAAAAGTGATGAAAACAGGGCGTATCCACATGCTTCGGGACAGAGCATGGCACAGCTGTGCTCAGAGCTGACATAGTATAAACTAGCTTTGGACCAGGATATGTTTATATGGGACTAATAAGCATTACTGAAACATGAAGCTGAAACCTGGTGTCTCGGAGCTCACGAAGAACTAAATACAGCTGCACCTTGCCAGCAGACACATTCAGGGGCTTCCCTGGGCTATTACTGAGCAGTAGATATGCTGCTGGATTCCTCAGAGCTGCAGTTTGGGACACATTCATCATGTCCACTCATGAGCTTTGGCTAGAAGGATCGTTCTTGCTACCGTATTCCTTGTTTGCATTTTTCCCCTTGAAAATAAAACAGTGATATTCTTTTTCTTAAGATCTGATAAGGCTTAGAGGAAACTGTGATCTGATGGAAGAGATTGCTGAGATGGAAAAGGAAAAGCAAGAAGCTGCTAGTGAGAAGAAAGTCTCCATAAGGCAGCTTTTCAGCGCTGCGAAATACAGGCAGGCGGTCATCGTGGCGCTGATGGTTCAGATATCCCAGCAGTTCTCAGGGATCAACGCAGTAAGTCCATCTGGGTTATGGAGCCATTTACCACTCATCCTTACCTCCTACAAGAGAGCTATCACCATACTCTTTGAGGGAAGAAAGAAAATTGAGTCATTCCAATGCATCAAGAATAATACAAAATTCATTTAAAATTCGGCCATATGAGGGTATTTGTCTCCAATATTACTGTGCTGGTGACTTGCTTTCAAGATTATACAAGGAAGAACTACATGGAAAATATTTTTTTTAAATATGAAAATGCCATAGTTCAGRAGGGGAATTTCAATGGGATTTTAAACTCCCTTAGGTTTCTTTGAAAGTTTCAGCTTTAAGTACTATAACAAACMATTAAAAAGTTGAAAAACTAATCATAATTAAATTACTTCGAATTTCAGCTAAGCAATTGCAACTCTTCCCTCAAGAGGACATAAAGTTCYACTAGCCTTGTTATCTAATCCTTTATCCTAATGTATTTTGATAGATCTTTTACTACTCTACAAACATTTTTGAGAGAGCTGGAGTTGATCAACCAGTTTATGCAACCATTGGCGTTGGAGTGGTGAACACAGTCTTCACTGTTATCTCTGTAAGTAAATATTTTTGGCCTAGCTTGCAAAAAAACCCAAGATTTTATCCTGGTGCTGGGATTAGGATTTGCAATTTTGCAGGGCCAGCCTTGCACACCCTACTCAGGAAAAATCTTTCCTTAAACTTGTCCCATTTCACATTTAAGCCTCGATCCACTGCTATCAAATAGCACTGCTAAATAGAATTAGAAGTGCATTGCCATGTTCACAGAAGCGCAGGTAGTTTCGCATTTCCACAAAAATAAAATATATCTTTGAAGCTGAAATTCTACTGATCCTATTTCATCTAGGAAACCAGTAGGTGCTTTGGGTTGTGATGAGGAAAGCCAGATGCCCACAACCCTCTTTTACCCTTTGTCTTCTAAATTCTCTTCTGTTTTCACAAAATACCTACCTGAGGAATATCCAGAGTCTATTCTACAGTAATGAAATTAATGTAGCCCCCATGCTCATCATATCTATGTACAGCTCTGTGGCAATAAAAGGATGGCTTCAGTTTTCACAGCCTTCCTCATCATTTGTCACTTTCCAGAGACTATTAACACAGCTCCAATCAGCAGGCAATTATTTTGTGAAGTGGCCACTATTATCAGAAGAGCAAGAAACACCAAGCCAAGCCCTTTCCCTCATTTTTACAGAGAGTCTTAGGAAGCAAAGGCATTTACACAACACTACTAGAGGCAAGGTAGAAATACACAGCTCTAAGAGGTCTTAGTCCACCATAAAACGTCAAAAAGACGGGAGCTCTTGGAGTGTAACTGCTTTAGAGAAAGTAGACCCGAGCCCTATAAAAAAGATGGAATATGTGGTGGAAAGAGATCTGTTCACAGCTTGTCTGTTCTCCTGCAATTCATTAGCAGCCCCAATGTGCTGTACTTACAGCCTGGGGGCAGTTGCTCTCTGCTTCTTTTGGCTGTGAGCACTTAAAAATTACCCACAGCTCATCAATAAATGACAGAGCCCGATCAAAAGGCACCACAGCAGAACCATGGACAGTCAGGAGGCCCTTGGCAAGGGGAGAAGGGATTGTGGAGCCTTGTCCTCTGCAACTTGACACTTAGCAAGATGAACTGTCTCCAGAGAACGAGACAGACTCCTGGGGGCAGATATCAGCTGCCATAATTTCAGGAAAGTGAGACTGGATTTATGGCCCCAGGTGTGCTTTAGAGAGGAAGGCAAGGAGCAGGCAGCTTCAGAGGCTAAGGTATGGTGTCGTAGGGCAAGATGCACTGCCCTCTGGAGCTACCTAGAGCTCTCCACTGGGTGAAGTGACTGGTTCAGACTCAGATGTCTGAAGCTGGGTGAGATGACTGGCGTCCCCCAAAAGATGCTGAGAAGGCGCAAGTTCAGTCTTGTGGCTACCAGGACAGGGAAAGAAAATATCTGGAAGCCACACAAGGAAAAATTCATGTGCCCACCTGCCTGAACCAGGTTGTAGCTACAGAACTTCCCCTGCCTTAGCGCAGGGATTGTGCAAAGATACATGATGTGACTTCTATCATGCTACACTTGGAAGGCTGTTTCCAAACTAGTGCAAACCCTGTGACTTTATTCTTCCTTATAAAAAAGGAACAGTGAAAAATCCTTGGAGTTTGGAAATGCGTGAGCTCTGTGCATACATGGGTTTGCTTGCCCTTAGCAAGGCAGCTGCTTAACATGCCTCCCTGAGAGATATCTGCAGACTTTCAGTTGTGACTTCTGGAAACCAGCACAGAAATTTCTACTGTGTGAGCTAGGACACTGCAGTGCTGCCTGGCACTGGTACCTGCCCACTGCTAATAGGGTAGGCTGCTCACTGCTAAGAGACCTGAGGGAGCTTCCTAAGAGCAGGGATGCCAGAGACTGATCTGCTGCATGTGTTTCTACAGCTCTTTCTTGTGGAGAAGGCAGGGAGACGCTCCCTGTTCATGGCTGGTTTGATGGGTATGTTGGTAAGCGCCGTGGCCATGACAGTTGGACTTGCTCTCCTGGTAAGGATTTCTTTCTTTTTTTTTTTTTCCTCAATGGTTTTCAATTAAGAGAAGATGAACTACCACTTAAACTGATAGTTTTGGATGTTCATTTCAAAGAAGTTTGGAAAACATCTCTCCTTAGAAAGCACAGTTCAAAATGGCCTTGACTAGAGTCATGTCTAGTTACAGCAGTGCCGGAGGAGGTTGTCCTCTCCACCCCCATGGCACTCCAGGGCTCACTTAACCAGTTCTGGAAGGGCTGCTGGACTGCTCAGCAGAGCACTCCAAAGCCACCTGGATATGTTCTACTCAGGTGTCTGCTCGTGCAGCCCGTCCAGAGAGGGTGCACAGAGCCACTGCTTGCACCTTGGCGGGGCCTGCAGCCCCCACAGGCTCAACTTCTTGCTGCTGGGAGCCAGGGTAATACAGTTCATATTAATGGTGCTCATTTAGACTACCCCGAGCAGCAAACAGCACTATCTAACCTGCTGGACATCCACTGGGGGGTTTATTTACACACATGCAGTCCTTTTCCTTGCCTAAGAAAAAAAAATGCAATTAATCAGTGCTAATTAACTAGAGTCAAGTTGGAACTGTGACGCTGAATTCACTCTCCTGCAGAGCCAGTTTGCCTGGATGAGCTACGTTAGCATGGTCGCAATCTTCCTCTTYGTCATCTTCTTCGAAGTGGGGCCTGGGCCGATCCCCTGGTTCATCGTGGCCGAGCTGTTCAGCCAAGGCCCTCGTCCCGCCGCCATCACCATCGCGGGCTTCTGCAACTGGACCTGCAACTTCATCGTTGGAATGTGTTTCCAATACATTGCAGTAAAAAAGCCTTCTAAAACCTTACAAATAAATGATTTGTGTGATCACAGTGCTGGAGTTGCATGTAATTATCAGAAATCCAAATCCTTATGAAAATCTGAACCATCTGTGGTACAAATGATAAGTAATCCCCGCAGTGCTCATGGTGTTTCCTCTGTTCTCACTTCTCTCATTGCAGGACCTGTGTGGACCATACGTGTTCGTGATCTTTGCAGCTCTGCTTTTAGCCTTCTTTCTATTTGCGTACTTTAAAGTACCAGAAACAAAAGGAAAGTCCTTCGAGGAGATCGCAGCTGCGTTCCGCCGCAGGAAGCACTCGGCCGCCAAAGGTGCCAAGGCCATGACGGAGCTGGAAGACCTGAGAGGCAGCGAGGAGGCCTAGAAAGCCCCACTAATGAGAAGAGGTTAAGCATGGACTTCCTCACACAACGGAAAGAACCTTGGGCAAAAGTATCATTCCACAAAATCCTTGCAGCTGACAAAGCAGGAAGATAAACCACTCTGCCCTCCTGACTCCTGCAGCTGTGACATTTGGACCTGCAGGTGCTAACCTGGCATTTGACTAAAATATTCYATATAGCTGGGCTCCAGAAAGAGTCATGGGGAAGAGTGGAAGGAATATGTTACATGCAGATCTCCCTGCCCCACTAAAACAGCCCAGGAGGATAATGATGTTTTTAGCTGGCCATGCATGTCATAAACATGGTCATAAACCAGAGGGAATGGAGGAAGGAGGGACTGGGCGATTCTGAATTCTTACATTTTCACCTTTTTCTTCTTGGACCTGCTGCTTCCTTCTGCTGAGCAACCTGATGCCTTAGAAACCAAGTGTAACTTCAGCTGTGTTATCAGCACACAACACTGATCACATCAAGTGCTAACTACGACAGGCTGAGCAAAAGCCTCCTGATCTCTTTCTCTGCCTTCCCTATTTAGGCTGCTGGCTCTTTCAAGCAGTTTTTCCTCTTTGTACACTGCATGGTTTAATGGGTCTGCGCAGTTCCCTAACAATTAATAATAACCCGAAGGGTTAATTGGTACAGCACCATTTACTGCAAGATGCTCTGCTGCTCCGAATCCCTCTTTGCACCATTTATGGTTTTGCAGCCTGGAGTGTACATGGGCAAAGAGAGCTTGCAAGGAGGAGGCTGCTTTGTTTCTCTGTCTTTATTTGTGCTCTTTTATTTTCTTTACGAGATACTTGCGTGTGAGAAAATCAAACTGCCAGGATTTTTCTCCCTTTTTGGTTGATATGCTGGAACAGTTGTAAAAGTCTCTATTTGCATGAGCTTTTACGTTTGATTTTTTTGTTGTTGTTGTGATACCAGGATACTTTCTAGCAACTTTCTCAGGGCAGAACCCCATTATTTATTTAATGATGAACATTAGCATTGCTCAGGCCCTGGGAGCTCATGACTAGGTAGTCAGAAGCAGTAACAACGGTGTCACAGGGGATCAAGCATAACAGAAAGCATCAGAACAGACGGGTCAAGGAGGATGCACTTGATCCACTGTGTGCACTGAAGTAATGAGACTGCACCAAGGCTTTCCTGAAGCGACAGCCCATCTACTAGAGAAAAGATGGGTCGACAGCAGTCATGAATTATGCAGGACAGGGAACATGAGGCTGAAACTGCACATGCAGAGCACATAAAAACCACGACCGTGGGCTGGAGCGTAGAGGAGAGAGCAGCTCTGCGTCTCATGGGCTCCAGGTCGAACTGCCCGAGACTGTTGGAAGTCAACAGGTTTGCCCAGAAGTGACTGGCTGAGCGGGCAGATTCAGTAGCTCCCTGTGCTGTCCACTGCAGGCTGTTAAATGTTATAATGCATTTTCTGAAYGTAAAAAAAGGGGGAAAAAGAGAGATGAGTTCTTGCTGTCAGCAATGTCATCTATGTCTGTTACATAAAAGTGGCAATGAACAACATCTACGTCGTGTTGGCTTGTGCTGCTGTTCTCTCTCCCTGCACATCCCACACACACCCCCAATCCAGACAGGAGGCATCTCCCTGGCCAACAGGCCAGGCCTGGCCTTTGCCCAGCAGCCTGGGCACGCCGCTGCCTCCAAGCGCAGCCATCCCCACTGCCCGCTCGTGACGCCCTCCTGCGTGGGGCGACGCTCTGGTCACACCGTGCGGGCCTCCCTGCTGGCACGGCCCGATGCTCTGAGCTCAAAGCCATGGCCTGSCACCGTGTCCAACGTCCCCGTGCTCCTCCTCCCATGCCCTGCCCCTAAGAACGCCCCACCAATCCTTCTTCTAAGTGAATTCTCCTTTACATTTCAACTCAGTTTGTGTCACRGGAGAAAGGATGTCCAAAAACTCCTCGATAAATTTCCCATGAGCTTCATCCCAAAGCACGAGCGACATCAGTCAAAGACGAGTTAGATTCAGAATTATTAACCCAGCAGCAAGSAGTCAATCATTTAGTAACACTCCCATCTAACCAGTCAAGGTTTTCCTATGTATTACTAAATAAGTGGTAATAAAAAGGCAGGTTAATTTATTGTAAGGTAGCACCTCTGGCAAGGGSGCAGTGCCTTGTGCGGGGAAGGCTGCAGGAGAGGTTAAACCCGCGAGCCTGTTGACTCTCCCCTCGCCACAACAAGCAGGAAGGCTGCACTTTATCTGCCCTGGCTCCAGGTAAAGCTCCTGCTGGAGATACAGCTTGTTCAATCTTTTTTTTATCTCTCGCTGTTACACTTCTACCAAGCTGCTAATCATTAAGAAAATTCAGAAGACCAAGTCGTACTTATTAGCTAAATGGTCAATGCACTTCAGTTCACATGCAGAATACGTTGCCGTAGTGTGGTTAGCTAATAATGCAATATAATTAATAATCCCTGAGAAAGCATCTTGTCAGCAAGAGCCTGGATGGTGTTTTCCTACTGCGCTGAGGTGATTGCCATTAGGACTTTTCCGTTGTGTCAGACAAATGGCCAACAATATCCATGTTCTCCCTCTCTAAGCATAATTTTAAAATTAGTTTGACTTTCTTAATCCAATAAACTCGGGACATTTGGCTCCATTAACAGTTTCCACACTAATTTATCACAGATCTTTCTGCCTCGCTTCAGCTTGTTTTTCATCTCCTTGAGGAGAGGTAACCCCATCTCCTAAGGCCAAGAGCAGATGAGGATGAGGCTAAACTAAGTTATACTCAAGTACATATGATCATTTATATATATATAATCAAAATATATATATTTGGGGGCCAGTTCTTTGAGGTGGGGGGCATTTTCTGGGCTGAATGTCCTTAATGGAGTCAATGGGCACGAAGCACCAGGCAAGTACCCAGAGAGGCCATATCATGTAGGCTACACGAGGCTCATGTTGGGGTCAACGTCACCAGCAGTTTGCTGGGAGGAATGCTGGATATTTACCCCACACTGGTTCAGATTCATACAGCTAAGTCTAGACTTCAACAAGGTGATTTAGGGCATAAGAAATTTCTCTAGAACATAACTGTGCTATGGCTACAACTTGCTATAAACCTTCCAAAATTTCCTTTCCAGACTCTGATCATTTCTGTAATCCAATTTATATAAAGAATTTAGAGAGGAGAGCCAAAGTCTGGTAACGCACTAAATCTCCAACAAAGATAAAAAGAATGTTGTGATCCAGCTGTGTAACATTCAAAGCACACGTGAACAGAAAGAAATGAAATATATTTAAATGGGAAAGGCCATGGTTTTTACAAATGTCCTTTAAAATCTTGCTGTTGTTCTGTAGGAAAGTGGCATAATCACATTAGTACTATTATGAAATACATTTTGGAAAATAAATGTTGTTTCACACAAAGGAATGATGCCTGCAAGCTATGACTGATGAAGCTGATTTACAAGTTTTTATTGAATCTCTGATAAAGGCTGCCCTGGAATATTTATTTTGTGTGTCGCAAAAAAAAAAAAATATATATGTTATCTGCAGTTCCACTTCAGCATTAAGATTTGATTTTGTACAGCACTCTCAAGCCATCCAAAAGGAGTCTGCTAATTGCAAAAACCAACCGAATCTATAATCTGACACTCAAGAAAAGAAAATATCATTAGCGCTCATTAGTCCACTCCAGTTTGGGGTCAGAGCAGTTGGTAGCTCTGCTGCAAAGCGTTTTAGCAGCATATAAAGTGCCCTGGAGCACGTTCAGCTACTCGTGCACTCACAGGCAAGCAAATACAYGGTGCGTGTGTGAGTGCATTTAGCAGAATGCGCCAGGCTCCGTGCACKGGCAGGGACAGCGGGACACGAAGGGCGGTTTGTGTCCTTACCAGATGGGGTGAGGAACATGTCAGGGATGGGGAGCAGCTCCCAGGGAGTCCCCATCTGCACGTGCTCAAGGGGGGCTCTGCATAAACCAACTCAGCCCAAAGCCCCCAAAACAGAAACCCGAGTGGGAGCAGTGTAATCACAGGAAAAYGTGTCGCACATGAAGGTGAATGAAACTCATACACCGTAGAGCTGCCAATAATGAAGTGTTTGGAGCAGTAGGCACTGCTGCCCTCGCAGGGCCATGGCAGATGGGCAGGTAAAGCCCTTGCTGCGCAGGGGACCGCACAGGACTGCACAGCAGCTGCACTGCCCGCGTCACCATTAGCGTTACTGCAAACTAGGCCGCGTGCTGCTCCTGGAGGGCAGAGGTGCCATGAGGGGAAGAGTGTCCAAAGAGCCCGGCAGCCCCATGCTGGTGCCATGGCGAGGGCGCAGACACGCAGCGAGGCTGGGCACACGCTGCCCCGACCCTCATCCAGCGCGGCCCTGCAGCGGGGCCAGGGGGGCGCGCTGCCGGGGTGTGAGCGGGGCTGGGCGCCATCTTGGGCGCCCCACGGCGGCGGCGTGGGCACGAGGGGGCGGCGGGGAAGATGGCGGCGGGGCG